TTTCCCGCTGCTCTTGGATAATTTTAAGTCGTCGAACGAGAAGTTCTAAAGAGAAATATAAAAGAGAGTATAAAGTATACGAGCGGAGTCTAGATACAGTCCGAATATTACTTCCAGAAGAGACGAGTTGTATGGAATTTAAAGAAATAATCGAGTAGCACACAGAAATATATAAATTAATAGTGTAATATATTTAAGAAATAGATGTTTTATTAAAGAATACAATCAATACGCACATTTGATTTATCGTTCAGATTGCAGCATCTTCGCTATGGAGAAGAACATCAGCTCCGATCCGGAGCATCGCACGGAGCATCCGCGAGACGCGCATAAGTGCGCCTCTTCTCTTATGCAAAGCTTCCTTTATGTAAATAGGTACAAACACGCAGGATATGGCCGTGCCTCCGGTTGTCCGTCGAGGACTTCCCCTATTGTCCCCACGCGCGAAAGAGAGAGAGAGAGCGCTTTTAAGGCTCCCAGACTTTTAAAGCCACTTCGACGTCTCTCTTGTCCCCTCGTCCGTGGCTTTTACTACTCCGTGCAAAACCAGGGCCGTAACTCGTGACGCGGCCCTCTTTCGTGGTTTTCTGAAGCACGCGAGGTCCACGTTCGCGGCGCATCATCGTAAGAGCCACCGCACATCCGCGTGCATCTCATTCCGCTTCTTTACCCCCCTTTGCCAGTCAGGATCGCTTTGCCCATCGCGTGTAACGCCGCGCACGTTTGTTTGACTTCGTGATTATAATTAAGTTAATTAAGGGGATGTCGTGGAAGGGAGGGGGAGGGAGAGGTAGGCTAATTACCGGTAATTAGCGGTGTTTGAGCGGCACCTCGCGTGTCGCCGCGCTTTGTCTGCTAAGCGGCCCTCTTTTGCGCGAGTTGAACCTCTGTTCTTCTTCTCCTCCGTCACTTTTGTGCGCAGATCCGTTTATTCTCATTTAGAAAAATGGTCACGCCACTTGCTCCGTGCTGCATTGTATAATACCACGGCGCCGAGAAAACACACTATTTTTCCTCAGCTTCGTTACTATCCAGTGCACAGTGTTTTCTTCTCGTCTCACGAGATACAATGTATTTAACTGCATAGACGTAGTTTAGAATATTGTCATCGGTACATACCGATAATTACTTCGTAAGAAACGGTCCGTAGAAACTATATTACGTTTTCTGTATTTCTCGCGCCGGAAAATTGCATCTTTTAAAATAGTGATTTCGATCTACGTCGTCATCTGTCTTTGATGTCTCCGACACCGAAATTTGCGTGACGGTCTTTTGCCCATTCCGTTATTATTAAATAATCATGTATGACCCGTCGTTCTCGTACCGTGGAAATAGATGTACCAGACAACATGACGTGCCATTATGGTAAACGGTTTCTGTGTTATTACATTTGCAGGACAGGGTCGCGTGAACCAGCTAGGTGGTGTATTCATCAACGGCCGTCCATTACCGAACCATATCCGTTTGAAGATCGTTGAGATGGCAGCGGCCGGTGTCAGGCCATGTGTCATATCGAGACAGCTCAGGGTGTCACACGGCTGCGTCTCGAAGATTCTGAATCGGTATCAAGAAACGGGATCGATAAGACCCGGTGTGATTGGCGGTAGCAAACCGCGAGTTGCCACGCCGGAAGTCGAGGCGAGGATTGAAGATCTTAGGCGGCAGAACCCTGGAATCTTCAGCTGGGAGATACGCGAGAAATTGATAAAGGTCCGTTGATATCACCCATACCATTACGCTTATCTTTTTTTTTTAAATTATAAAAGGAGAAATATCTTAATCTTTCGGTGCCACATACGTTTGATCACGAGAATAACACACTAACAAGGGAACCATCGGAACCGTCCCTCACCGATTTTGATGGGCTTTGGATATGTTGCAGAGTATAAAAAAATATTAGACCCATATTTTTTTTATCAGTGTATCTCAAGGTTTAGGGGGGACGGGTTTATTTCCCTTGTAAATCTTTAAAAATATAATAAAAAAATTATAGCACTCCTGATAGAAATTTCATGCACTTTCTGAGTTACTGGACAGTTATATGTATATTAACTCTGTTTAGTAATTGAGAACAAAAAATATTTAGGATCTCAATTAAAATGTAACACTTTACCTGCAGTTAAAAAAAATATGGGAAATGAGAACATGTTTATTGAACAAAAATAGGATAACAAATAGACTACGCAGTATTTTAACTAATAATAATCTATTGATACTAGACAACAACTGAGCAGGTATCTACATACGTACACACACAAATTGCACATATTTTTACTAGAGAAACTGTTGCAGCCACTGAATAAAATTCTATCAAGTTCTTGTCCATTTACGCAACATTGTTACGACTAATGAAAATACAGTAATACTACAATAGATAATAACTAGATGGATATCTAGAAAACTGCATACATTTTTCTATCAGGGATATATAAAGTAAAAGAAAATTCGGATATGCACACTGAGAGTGGTACCGAAGGATAAAGATATAGCGTTATGTAACACTTTTCTTTTTTTTTATATAAATAAACGAAATCGCGCAAAATCTAAAGTAAATGATAGAGATGTGCGTTAATCTAGAAATATAGGGATACCTAAAGTATACGCTTCTTTTTGTTTGTAACTTTTTTAAATGTGTATCTTCATGATATTATATTATATAAATTATTGAAAAATGTACGTCATTTAAATCGTGAAAGAAATGTTAGTTGAAAGAAAAATTATGCTAACTAGTCCAACGCGGTTCTGCCAGCAGGACGGAGTCTGCGACAAAGCCTCGGCACCTTCCGTATCTAGTATCACCAGACTTCTACGTGGACCAGCCAACCAGACACGTCCCGGTGATGACCTACGCAGAAATCACTCTATTGATGGTATTCTTGGTGAGTGTTATGAGTATAACATTTATGATTATCGCGATCCGATCTGCCGAGGCTATCAAGATTTCCTACACGATGTGCGGATCACCATCGAAAAATATATTTTCAAAGTTCGCAATACGCGCGCGTATCATCGTTTTAACACTGCATAAACCACCGGGCGGACGCAAATGAAGTGCCCGGGGTTAATCGAGCAATAAGCGTAATTATAGCGTAGTCGTGTGCTAAGTTAATTGAGGCAAGGCGGCCGCGACGATCAACCGTTTGTAGCCCATGTATTCAAAGTTCCCGATCTGAAATGCTATTCGACACTTTTCCCACAGGCGTAATACGAAAGGAAGTCGTTATCCTTTTCCATACAGTCTTTAAAGTCGAAAGTTTTTAACGTGTTTATAACTACGAGCTCATATATGGAAGTAATAAGAGATTCAATTACCGATCGCACCAAGGGATGTAATTATTACGCAGATACTTTTCGCGACGTTATCATTTGTATTTCGTTTATTTCACATTCGTGTTGAACGTGTTACATGAGCCTCGAGATATGTACGAGTTCTACTTATTGAAGTATCCAGCAGTTTCGTGGCCACGCTGGAGATTGGTAGGAATATAGGTCCGGTCGGCGAAACGTAAAGGGGAATTCCTTTCTTTTTTATTTATTACTGGCGGTAAGGGGTGCGAAGAAATATTAGGCGTCCCGTGGCGCGTAGATCTGTCGAGTTTATTACCTTGTCGGGAAGATTTAGTTTTGATTAGACGTATGCCCGAGATTGCAACTTCGCGCAACGACTCACGGATGGTGCTCGACCTGTTGCTTCCTGTCGCATTGAACAACCTTTTTGCGCTGTTGTGAAAGCGACTTTCATCTTCTTGATATTATTCATATTATTCGTTGAAAATATTTTCATTGAAAATAAATATTACGCGATTTAACGTAAATTAAATAGAAACTAAAGCAGCTGACCAATATTGGAATAATAAGAACATGGAAGGAACGGTTTCCCTGATAAAAATAAAAATCGGAGCTTAAGTCAAATGTAATAGGAGAGTAATAGAAGCGTAAATGAAACTTCTAGGAAGCGAAAACTGGAACAACAGAACGTACAAGAAGCGTAAGCCTCTTTTACGTTTCGTTGTTTCAATTTTTGCCTCCTAGAAACTTCGTTTACGCTTCTATCACTCTCCCATTACATTCGACTCTTACGCTCCGATTTTTATTTTCACTAGGGTTGCTGAAATATCTAAAAATTTAACTAGGTACAGATGAGTAATGCTGCAGAAAGTTTTGACATTCTATCAATCAGTTTGTACGTCCTACATAATTATAATATTTTGATGGTCCAACAAAATTATTTTCAGATTTATATTTAGCTAAATTTTTTGATACTTTACATGTACTACAAACCTGAAAATAATTTTGTTGGATTATCAAAATAATTATGCAAGACAGTCAAATACGATAAACAATGCTACAAAATGTTTTGACATTCTAGTAACTAGTTTGAATGATTCACGTAATTATTTTGATTCGACAGAATGATTTTCAAATCTATATTTAGCCGAAAGGTACTTCAGTGAAATTGTTCCGTGTGCTTTTCATTATGAAGACAATTCTATATATTCTAAATAAAGCGAACGATTATTTATCGCCAATATATTTTATGCGAAGAATCGTTAATAAGTCGCGATGTCGAGATAAAATTGCCCCGAAGGTAGCGATTCAATTATGAATACTTCAATAAAAGTCCTGGAGGAAGACGCATAGATCTTTATTGGGTTCGCCGCGTTTGCAGGCCGGGTAAATTATGTATTATGATTCGAACAAAGGGGAGGAACAAGAAGAAAGTCAGGCGCTGTTTCTGCCGCTAATGCACCGCCGCGAAAGGAAAGGATACGGAGACGAAGAAGAGGAAGAAGAAGCAGGGACGAAGTCTTTTTGAATGCACACCTCGGACGTAGAACCTTCGTTCTTTTTATTCAATCGCAGCATGATGGTTTAGCACTGAAGTCGGCGATGTATTGGATCGGCTTATGACACGGACGTGGATTGGGGAACGAGGAGAAAGAGCGAGATAACTTGAACGATTGATGCATTAATGCGATAATAACACATCATCATAGTCAAGTAACAGAATACGGATAAGGATATCTTCCTGATATTTCTCTTCTTACAAGAATACTTAGCGTTTGATATAAGCACACACACACACACACACACACACGCGCGCGCGCGCGCGCGCGCACACAATTTAATTTTCTATAAATATATTCTTCTGTCACATATATCAATTACTTCTTTCAAGAAAACACTAGAAGTTAAATGAATGGTTAAATAGCGACAAAATGAGAAATAGCAAACAATCTAGTAGATCGGATGCACGATGCAATCAACGCGAGGGAACTTAAAAGGTCTCACAAATACACACTTCAATCATTTCGTCTCGCGTCCATTCATCTTCCGCGCGCCTTTCTCCCCTCGCCGGCATGTCAGTCCCAGAATGCAAGATCACCCGGCGGTTCCGGTAGCCAAGAACACGCGCGATAAATAACCCCGCGGTCTGTCTCTCCGTCAAAGAAATCGGGAGGAACGATCGCGCGGGGCGACAAGAGAGAGGGACAGATCCGGACGTAGCTCGTGCAGAGAAGGAGGAAGTCAGGTGGAGCAGAGTCGGAGGAACGTGAAAGAAGAAATCGGATGGAACGGCTAAGAGGAGCAAGAGCAGTCGAACCTGAGGAACAAGACGAGGAGATGGCGTGGATTCCACAACGGTGCAAGGAGGACGGAGGGATCAGCGCGCATATATATATACCTACGCGGCACCAACCGCGGCGTGTGGTCTTCCTCGGCTTCGTACCCGGCCGCCTGCCTCTAATCTTACAAACCGCCAACAACACACCCTGTACCCGCCGTTTTGTTCGCGGAACGCAACGGCACCCTCTATTGATTTAGATGCTCTTACTGCGGGGCAGACTCGTGATTGAGACCTTCGTCGTTCACCGCGCTCGCAAGACGGCGATCGCCTCGCCGCGCCGGTCATTTCTCCGATAGTAATTGTTTAGCATCGCAATCTTTCTCACCGATGTTTACTTCGACGTTTCCCAGCAAATCGCGACGTTTCGCGATTGCAACACTGTTCTCAGTTCAAAAGATATTATAGAAGCCTTTTAATAGTAAACAGTCCCGTTATGAACGCCGCAATCTTGTACAAAAATTATTTCTTCCTTATATATACACGGAAAAAAAAGTTTTGCTGAAGTATTTAAAAATTTAGCTAGATATAAATCAGAAAATAATTTGGATTATTAAAATAATTATGTAGGACTTTCAAGCATGATGAGTAATGCTGTAATAAATTTTGCATTTTAGCAATCAGTTTGAGCATCCTATCTAATTATTTTGATGATCCAACAAAATGATTTCAATATCAGTATCCATAGTTAAATTTTTAGATATTTCAGCAAAACTGTTCTTTTCATTTATAATTTTCTTTTAAAATAATAGCTATTTTTATCTTCATGTCATTAAAAAGTGCATAAAGATAAGTTATTCGTATTTACGACACATTTTAATATAAATCGAGATTTTTTTCTTAAAACAAATTTGATATTCAAATTTAATAGCTTATGCTAATAAATTTGAGAATAATTTTAAATTTATTTTGTAGAAAATATAGGTGGTTGCTATCTTTTTTTTTTATTCGGTCTCAGATTCATTAAGTATTGGCAGGCGCTGATAGCACGTGAAAAGCGTTAGAATCTCGAAAAATCGTTGGGCATGCACCTGAAACCCTCGCGACGATTTACGAGCGCGCGGTAGTCTTTAATCTGGCAGGAACCGCCATGCACTTCGTGTTCTCAAATTCTGGTTGATGTTCGCGCAGGTGCTATTGATTTAGACGTTTATTCCCGTCGGTCGATCTTAATCCGAGAATAAGTCTGTAAATTACGGAGTACAGATATAAAAAGAGACATATAGGATCCTCGATACTATCTCGATATATGTTCAGAGAAATTAAATATTTCACCAAAAATATTCACCATTTATATAAAATTGTGCATTTATAGAAAATATTAAATATCTATAAATAATAATAATAAATAATTAATAAACTTTATTAGTGAAATTTTTGAAATGTAAAATGTGTTAAATATTAAATTATTCATTTATCAAGTTGGACGGAGTTATAACGTTATCGATGTAGTTGTTGAAGTCAGCGTAACAGGGACAAACCGTGGAGAACAAATTAGGTCCGAAAGGGTTACAAATCAAACTCGAAATTCCATAAATAGTGTCTCGTGGAGGCAGGCAACGATTCCTCTTTGAAACGGGCTTTCGTTTAGCTCGGGTGGGACGGGACATGTCAAAGAACTTAATTTCTTCGCGGCGGACCCTAATTTCTCCGGTGTTTTAGTTTAGTATAGGTTCGGCTGGGCATGGCTGTAATCAGAAGGGTCTTAATGGTGGGTTGCTGAGACCGGCGTGTGAACTGTGGGCGTGAACGACTCGCTTCCTATCTTCGGTATCTGACGTGCAGCACGTGCTGGACCGAGAGATGCTCTCGCCGCTATTAAGGAACGCACGCTTGCGTTTCTCCTCTCGGAAACTATCGATGATGTTTTAATGTACGAATAGAATATTCGCCTTTTCGTTAATGTGTGAAATTTTTACTATTGCATCAGAAAAATTGCCGAGTACGAATAATAAATTTTTGGAAATTCCTAACGAAACTACATAACTGTCTTTTGTAATCATTCTCAAAATATATTCATTTAAAACATTTATTCAATTTATTTATGGAATGTTGGAAGAAAAGATTTGCTATTGGCCATATCGTGTAAAGACAATACCATTAACAAGAGAAGAAGAAAAAGAATCGAATTTTTACAGTTGTCAAGATAGTGGGATAGTTTTATTTATTCTACGACAAATCCGTTAATAATTGATACGTAAATCCCTAAATTGAATATTTAATGACAAAGGCTGTTTTCTGACTAGGACACGCCGTGTTACTTTGTGTTACACCGTGTAAAATACTTGTTGGAAGTTTAGTTTTATTTCATTTTTATTTTATTTTTATTTTTACGAGGATTTAGCTATCTATAATAGACTTACAATTTAATTAATTTAAAATTAAATTGTAATTCTTTCAAAACTGCGATGGCTTTTAATCAGGGTTGATAAAAAACATGTTTTAAACGTGTTTTAAATAGTTTGAAACATGCTAATTGATGTTTTTAACATGTTTTATAAATATGTTTTTTTATAGTACTGTTTAAAGCATATTTGAAGCATTAAAAATATATTTAAGAAGAAACACAGTATATTTTATTCTTAAAAAAAAAAACATTAGTTTTTACCTGCTTTTAATGATTTTATTATAAAATAAGCATAGCTATATAATTTTTTGAAAAGTTGGTAACACTGACATATCTTACACGCTCTTACTTAGTTTTTTGCAGTATCAAACAGTATAATATTATGTCACAGTTGGAACACTTTGTGTTGGACACAGTGTTGCACTGTGTCATCTGTGTAGCCTGTGTATCTTGTTAGAAAACAAGTAAAGTTGCGTATTTAAATGGTGCTGTCTTTAATTACTGTTCAGCTGGAAGTAGCGGTGACGACTCCGACACGGAAAGCGAACCTGGTATCGCGCTGAAGAGAAAACAACGTAGAAGCAGGACTACCTTCACCGGCGAACAACTGGAACAATTGGAAGCGGCTTTTCATCGGACGCAATATCCTGATGTGTACACTAGAGAGGAACTTGCACAAAAGTAAGTTTCTTAGGAATTCTTTTTCATAAAAAATTACATGTTAACAAATTTTATTCGTGTAATATTAAATCAATATTTAAATTAATTACATCAATTATCTTTATAAAATTATATGTTAAATGGAATAAATTATTACTTCTTGAAAAAAATAACATTTGAAATTAAATCTGAATTTGTGACTGAAATTACACATCGAAGGAAATTGTAAAAAATTATGACGCTGTAGACTTTGTGATAACATAAACTTTACATTTGCGATTTATATTTTTACTGATATTTTTTTGGATGCTCTTTTTTCGCAGAACAAAGTTAACGGAAGCTCGAGTGCAAGTTTGGTTCAGCAACAGGCGTGCCAGACTTCGCAAACAGCTGAACAGCCAACAGCTGAACGCCTTCAACATGAGTCTACCCTTCCAGACTCAGCACTACGGCAATGGTGCAGAGAGCTATCAGAGCTACGGGCAGGCGAGCGTTGCTGCAGCCGCAGCAACCACCGCCGGTTATTCTCAGCATTACAACTACGGGGAGAACTACTATGCGGCGCAGCAGCAATGGCCGCGGGCGACTCCGGACAATTATGGGTAAGTTTTAACAACTAGTGCTTGTCAAAATGTTCATTTTGTAAATTAACTAGACAGAAAGAAAAATCGCATGAACAATGTAATATACTATCAAGAAAAATCGTTGCTGATTTAATAATCGGTTCTTCGTAAATCTGTCGTATATTAGACACTTTTTTCATACAAGATCTTTTATTATCATATTCAGATTTCTCGAATAGCGTTTTTTTTTCTAATATTAAAATTTAATCATTATTAGGTATACTTGCAATTCTATTCCTCAGATCTTGATGACTAGTCTAAACAAAAATTTTTATTTCAAATCAAATTTAATTTTTTATTATTTTTGGTCTTATTATAAGCTTATAAAATTCCATAAGTATTTGTTTTCCAAAATTTGAAGTCACGTGAATACGTAATTGAACGCGATACCTGTCGTCCTTGGACACCCCCGCAACGATTATCCGCGATCGATCGTTGCTACCTCGCGGCGCTGCCACGATCGGTTAAAGCTGGATCACGGCACAGGTACATACACCCTGCATCGAAGGATCAAGACCCGGGTTGGATTATTAGCCGGTAGCGTTTCATTACGGAGGCCCAAGAAGCAACATAATTGAGGACCACACAGAAAACGTGTCGGCAGGGCCCCGTTGGCTCTCTCTTTCTCTCGCTTCCTCATTCCCCGTGCTTTCCGTCTCTTCCTCTCTCGCTTTCCTCTTTCTTTCTCTCTCTCGCTCTATCTCTCTGGCTCAAGTGAATCGGCTCGTCCGCTCGGCGTGTAACAACACACTGTAGCAACCCGGCCACCGGAGCAACCTGTTATTACGCCACGATGGCTGAATTAATTGTTCGAAACACCCTGGCTTCGCCGTCTTTATCTCCGCGCGTTGCCGCGCGCGCCTCTTTCTAGCGGCGATGTTCCGGACTTACTGTCTCGCTTGGGCCCCTTTGGGCCTTGTACAACAGCGGACTGGTTCACTGTGCCGAGCCATCACGTGATGCACAGAGCGAAGCTTTGCCGGTCTTAAACATCCGGGATAATACTCATGGACCCCCGGTGGAGCGTCAGCCTACCTCGTGGGGGGTCGCTCTCCGTAGTCGATTCTGTCCAGTTCGAGCGAATTCGTTGCTGTCGATGGTTGTCGCCGTTTTTGCCGTTTCATATATAGACAAGCGCAGAAACTATACAAAACTTTGTGAAATGGCTATGAGTCATGTTAACGATACATTCCATCTGAGAAGAAGAAAACAAATCTCGCCACCCGGAAACGTGCTTTCGGCTAAGAAAAACTGTCCCTAGACGTGGGAAAAAATTAGAAATTCTACTCTAATAATGTTTTTTTAGTAAAAAAAAAACACACACACACACAAGTTTAGATACTCGAAAATAATTCAAATAGCATAGAAGCTATTAGCCAAACTCCGGAAATAGTCGTGATTTATTTTAATTCTGACGAAAAAGTCAAAAGAAGATTAATATAAAAATAAAAAATTAAAGATACTTATAGAACAAAATTTACGTTTCTCTAAATTTTTTAAATGATATAGTCGAAGTCAGTTTGCCTCGAAAGAATATTTAATATAAGTTCCATATTTTATTTGACGGCCGATTTTAATTCCGAAGAATCGCGAGCTGTAAATTTTGGTTGCCACTAAATTCTTAAGAATTCGTTAACGTGACCATAGAACAAAAATTTGATTTGTGAGCAGAGAAGGAGAGACATTCTTCTGCATGAAAATAGATTCGTAGGGCGGAGTATGGTCGATAAATCGCGCGGCTTCCACCAGAAACGTCGCGCTACCTTCTAAATAAAAAAAGGGGGAAAGAAATAAAGTTATAGTGCGAACTAGGCCTGGCACCGACGGGATTTAGGGTGCTTAAGCGTCATGGCGAAACGCTCAAAGGACCGACTTCGTTTTACAATCGTACGCTATAATCGTCTCAAAATATCAACGCGTTTCAAGTTTATTTTAATTAAGAATTGATTTCTTATAGCTTTGGATTTTGTCTAATTTTATTTCTTACATCGTTTTTTTTTAATATGTCTTTTAAAATATATCACCAACCTATTAATAATTTTATATACTTTTCGAAACATCATTTATCACCATCAAGAGTCTATGTGAATTTGTTTCTCTAAAACTCCAAAAATACCGAAGAATGACTAGTCTTCCCACGCTTCTTCTGTTCATTCAGATATACTAAAATAACTATTAGTTATTTTTTTAAGCTTAAAGAATAACAATATTGTAATAAAAGCAACGATAAAGGTTTACCATTCAAGGGACAATGATCTGAGATCCTTAATCATGGTAGTGTATCAGAATGCTCAAAGGGCCGCGACGGTGTTTGGAAATCGGCCGCTGCCGCCCTCGACACGCCCTAACCGATTCGCAGAGCATGTGTGAGTGCGGTATCGCCTTGCAAACGGCAGTAACCACTTTGAGAGAACACGCCGGAATTTCATTTTCGTATTACCGCATGTGGACACCTTTCACCATTGTGCGACTCATTTCATCGTATCGCAACTCCCCACGTGTCCGTACATATGCGCACGTACAATAGTTAATTTATATTCAAGATATCGAACGGAGATATAATTACGAATATTGGCGGGTAATATATTCCCTTTAACTGCCGATTGATATATGCGGTTCGTGAGAGAATATCTATCTCTTTTTCTATTAATATTTAATAAGCTCGTCAATTGTTACATCATATTCACAATATTATATTCATAATTTTAATAAAAGAATCTTTCCTAGGCCTTTCTAAAATTAAGATTGAAAGTTGAATACTTTTACATTGTTAATAATAGCAATTAATAAAATTCTAATGACATTTTTTCATTTATTTTCTCCTTTATCTTATTTATGTGATTTGTATTATTCAGAGAATGTTTTTTTTTTTTAAGTATCACGTTAATATAAGAGAAAGGAATGTAGAAGTTTCGTAATATTACATAATACAATTTATCGTCGCCGTTTATTTCCTTGTGAGCAGACCTTCGATCTCGCCTGTTGCAGATTGTTCAACGCCTCCCATTACGGCAGCAGCAACCTTGCCTCCAATCTGACTTCCACCAATCTCAATCTGGGCAGTCTGGGGGGCAGCGTCAGCCCGACCGGGTCCAACATGAGCGCCTGCATGGTGCAAGGTGGTGCATCCTCCTCCGGGGTACCGGTCTCGACGGGGATGGCGCCCCACGTAACTCCGCACAGCCCTAGCGAGGCGAAGAGCGGATATCCGTATTTGGGCAACATCGATTCTCAGGTTTGCGGAAGAATTCACTGAATTTAACCGCGAGAAACGATCGCACATCGACTTGTATGCAATTACAGGAAAAGATGGCTTAAAAAATTGTTACTGTTATTTATTTTGTTTTTTTTTGAGGCTGGATTTGAATTGATAAAAATATTTGCACGCGTTTTGAAAAAATTGCTGATTGTTAAACTGTTTTTTATAAGAATATACGTTTGTCTTAGCTTTTATTATTAAATAATTATTTGCGTTATTATTGTATGTTGTTACTTTTATTAGGAACTCAAAAGATATTCTTTCGGCACAATTATATCGTTTCTAGAATAGTTTCTGATTGAAGTAGATGTAAAATATGTTGTATAGTCTTCGAAATTTGGAGAAAAGATTTGTTTTATTTATGAATATGTAATTGGTAATTTATGCATAAGACACAAGCAATTGTAAATATCCTATAATCGCTTTATAGATGGTACATGTAAGCTTTTCCACGACGAAGTTACACTGCATATTTATGATAGAGTTAAACTCACGTTTAAGTCGTACATAGGTAAGCCGCTCACCGACTTCTGAGAAGTGTCGTAATTACGAAGATTTATTCGTTAGAGTGATTAGCACTTGGCAGTTGTGAAACAAACGATGCCTCGGATGCTTTACCGTTTTAGAATTGCCTTATTATAGTAATAATATAATATAAATGCTATATATATATATATTCACGAATAACTTGTGTATATTTGATAGATAAAACTGTACATATTTATGCGTAGATCGTATTAAATCATAGCAAAATTATTGATAAAGATATTCTTATATTACAACCGACGTTGTGATTCTTCTTCCCGCAAGTTATTCAATTGGCCAGTTCAATTATTATATATACCGCACATAACGTGTTGTTGTCACGACAATTATATCCGATTTGTATAATGCAACGTTATATAAATAAATGGACTATGCGAAAAATTCGTCCTGTTCTTCGATTATACTGTTAATATCATCTTATTAATATCTATTTGCGCTCACAAGGTAAGTGCATATTTAATTTCCACATGAAAAAAATTTAGTGAAATATTTGAAAATTTAGCTAGATACAAAATCTGAAAATAATTTTGTTAGACCATCAAAATAATTATATAGAAAAATCAAACAATGAGCAATGTTGCAAAAATTTTAATTCTAGCAGTCGACTTGAGCGTCTTACATAATTATTTTAGTAGTGTAACAAAATTACTTTCAGTATTTAATTATTTTCTGTATTTAGATAAATTTTTAGATATTTCAATAAAATCCTTTTTTTGTGTATTAATATCGAATAAGATTGAAAGTTCGTGGGAGTATAACAGATAACAAGATTTGTTGACTGGAACTTATTGCATATCTTAGAAAACGATGTTTTCTCCCTCCTTTTATTATTGCATACTTTGCGAGACTGGGTAGTATAAGAGTCGACCGACCTAAAAAGTAAAGCGTGCATAATTCGCGATCGGTCCCGAATCGTCAGGCTTCTCTCCCGGTTTTCAGCCGCCCCCGCGAACCCGTCGTTGATCACGGGCCCGTCGTCAGAAGACAGTACACGAACGGCGGGGGGTTTGGTGGACCTCGAAGAGCCGACAATCGGGCGCGCAGTGACAACGAGCAATCAGCCTGCCGTATATCTACGGGTCCTGTCGCCACGCATTTGTGCCCCATTGTGTCGACGAAGTAGGTGGTCGTTCTTTCCCTCTTTCTTTCTCTCTTGTACTGCCTGGTCGCCAAGTTCCTGCAGCACAAAGTATCACCGCACAACGATTCGCCGCCCTTACCAGCTTCTATCTTTAACCCTTCGTATCTTATTGAGCAAGCATGTTTACGAATATGTCGTAGATGTGGAATTACGATTTCAGTATTGACTTATTTAGGACTTATTTAGTGCCTGACTTATTTAGGAACGTTTATATCACGAATTCGCTCTACGTTATACATTTATCGTTATTAAAGGTTAAATAAATAAATTATCTAACGGTAATATTGAGACTATTTTTGGCAAATTTGAATCGCGCGCGCGTGCGTTGAAACTGTTTGTTAAACTTATGTGGGGTCTACAATAGAAGTTGTAGCGGGGTCGTAGAGTCTTAAGTCGCATTACAGTTTAAAAAGCAAAAAAGACACAAAAAATTGTATTTGATACCAATTTTTCTTATTAATACGATCTTGCAGAGAATTTTAAATATGGAGATGGAGAATATATATAATTATATTTTTATATATTTTAAGAAGTATATTTCAAGTAATAATTTGAATTATAATTACATAAATCATTATGTTTGTAATACCTAAAATACAATTAATAATCTCTCATTCCAGGTAGAACATAAAATCATAATAAAATCAAGATGATATCAAGTAGTCATTTTAGGAAAAATCATAATAATGTCATTTGATACCTTTTTGACGATAGTTTTATAATGAATTTTTTATATGACAATGATTTTTAAGTAAAAAAATTAAACATTATGATCATATGAAAAAATCATTACAAAATCATCGTCAAAAGTGTATCAAATGATATCACTATGATTTTTTCTATAATGACTTTTGCTTGATGTCATCTTGATCTTAATGTGATTTCGTGTTTTTTTTTCCTGAGTATGCCTTCTTTCATTATTTCGACTATCATCAAAATCAATTTATTTTGCATACCATCAAACGACAAAAGAAATACATTTGTTGTCTAAATTTGTTGTCTAAAAGTTCGAGTCATGTCGCACGATATTTTCCTGGACCTCACGTATCGTTTGCCTGCCTCCGTGTGTAATTCGCTATTCAATAATCCCCGCCCATGTTCCAACCCCCATAAGCGCGGTACGGGGTTGCTTCAAGAGCGGCTCCTTTGAACATCGCTTGCCTTTCTCTCGTCGCCAATCCTACCAAATATCTTCCCCCAATCTGTTGCTTCAAAATTGCCCTGACCCCAATAGCGATGTGGTAGGTCAAGAACTGGTATAAAAAATACGACGTGGTCACGTATTTTCGTGAGAACTTTCATCGTAAAACACAATGCTAACTTGGCATTCATATTTTAACAATAAACTTTCCATTCAAAATATAATTTGCAATCGTTTGTATCTTCTAATCAAAATAAGAACAAAATGTTTATATTAGTTTCTTTTGCAAGAAATAGTTTTGATTTCAAAGAACATACTTTTGAGATCCTTTTTTAAAAGTAATTAAAATAAAGTACAGTAATTAAATGTCGCAACCGAAAATGATTTTATCGTAAAGAATACACGTTGGAAGTTGATGAATACTTATAATAAATTGTTTTAAAAGGCTATATTTTTTTTATCAAATCTTTTTCTTAAAATCTTATTGTTTATTTTATAATTATTATTAGTTGCGTTTTTCAATACGGTAACTAGAACAGATGTACGGGCAACTGTAAAGCTGATAAGTGTGACGACCTCCCAGATTCAAACCGCACCCTCACGATGGAGATCTGAGGGTGTCCTTACAGCCAATCCGTGCGTGCGCGTACATTGCGTGACTTCGACCTGTATGCGCCGCGATGCATATCCGAGATATATATTTTTCACGATATAAAGTCGTTTTATGCGACATAAAACGGCCAATATATTTTCCTCCGAGAAATGTAGTCTGGTTATAAATTTGTTATAAATTTCTGTATAATTACCGTCTGTATAATTATTACGTACACAATTACTGCAATGGTATTACTTAACGCTTCGGATATCGAGTGCAGCTCTGTTAAGTAATGAGGACGATGTGATAAAACAAAATGTTTTCTAACACCCCGAGCATTGCTTCTCGGATGTAATTGCTTTAAAGCTAACTGTCTCAAAGATAAAACAACGGCGTTACGGAAATTCCTCGTAGGAGTTAATATTTCGATGATGCAAAATCCTTTCACTTTACTATAACTATACCTTACATCATTGCCTAAAGCGTTTTCTAACGCACGTCTTGAAATCGTAACTTCTAGGACTAATTTATTGCTTTAGTTTTTTGACGCAATCGTTGGAACTTATGCATTGATAATGATTTATAATAAAAATTTTTTAAGCATAAAATAACAGTTTTTTCAGCATATTAACATCTTTGAAATATGATTCCTGTTCGAGCATCGAAATTATTAGAATTTAATTTAATTCGCGAAATTACTACAGTGGTTTAATTGCGTTTAGTCCGGGAATATTTCGGCGAGCAGTTTGTTAGACTACAAGTGTGGTATATATGTCAAGTACATATATATCATATTTAGTGATTCACAAGATTGAATTATTTAAGCATTTAAGATCTAGCTTCAACCGATATAGGGCTCTAATTTATCGATTGTGTTTCTCACATGCACGGTCTAAAAATGAGATTATTTTTTATAATAAAAATATCCTTCCTTGTGTACTTAAGACGTAGATTTACAATTTATATGTAGACCAATTAAAAATAAGATTATGTTCATTATATATATTATAGTATGATATTATTATACCGAACATCCTTTGCGATAAGATCAGCTTTCATTACGACATTTAATTACTGTACTTCAATTTAATTGCTTTTAAAAAAAGATCTCATAAGTACTTTTTTGAAATAAAAAATGGGGTAACTTTGATCCAATCGGGATAACTTTGACTCTAAAAAACGGTGTTCATTTTGGTTCAAATTTTGATAATGCCAGCACGTCAAAATGAAACTTACCTCTAATTTTGGACCAAAGTTATCTCACTTCATGATATAATTTAAAAAATATAGTGCAATGCTGATTTTTTTTACTTTGTTAAATAATAAAAATTCTGGTCAGCTGTTTATCAAAGTCATACATATTTTCTATTAGTTGATCGCTGTATTTTTCTTTCTTCCTTTTTATAGTTTATGTTTCTGCTCTACACAAACGAAGTGCCGCTGTCGTCGGAGGGGAAATAAGATGGGACAAGCGAAAAACATACAGAACCAGTTCACGCGAACATGATGGCTGCTCCCCCTTAATGGCAATGCAGCCCCCCGTGCGGTGCATCGTCCGCCCTTTTCAACCAATGAGATTGCCCGTCGCGTTTCGAACAATGGTACGACC